AGATAAACAAATGATGAAAGAATTATGATCACATAAAGAGATGATTGAAGTAGAAGAACCTTTGAAGAAGACAAACCCATTGAGTTCCTGGTGGGAGATTGGTGACCCAGACCAAACATTTTGGAATTTGGACTGTTATGCCAATGGACATCACACACATTTCAAGTTAGGTAAGGGAGAAAGTGTTTCAATATTATCAGATAGCAAACATCGTGCTGCACCCCTCCCCCTTCCAGGTTAACTATATTGGAAGAAGAAGTTAGTTTTGTATCATCAGTAACATGGAAAACTGTGAATATAATACTCAGGTGGAAATGTTTTCCATTGCCATCAAAACTGAAGAGAGTTTAAATTCTACATGCCAACAAACTGAATGAAGAAAGGCAAGCAAAGAGGCAGAAAGTGAATAGTATACTCCATTGAGAAAAATGAACCATCAGTAGCTGGATTGAGTCAGATTGCAACACTGGTCAGTGAATATTTAGTTACTACAAATTCAAGTCATGCATTTAATGCTGTAATGACTAGGATAAGACAAGTTCAAGTAGAATATTCACCATCTGCTCTATTTCAAAGAAGCGTCTTTTAATAACCATATGATACATAATATCAAACTAAAATTAATCTTTAGGTAACACAATTGAAGAAATGAACAAATTGATTCCACCAAGAATTCAATCACTGAGGGTGAATGAAAAAGACCAAACTAATCGACAAGTTGAAATAAACAGTTTACCTACTACAGCACAAAATAGAAATGGGTTGAAAATACAAATTCACTGACACAAATTGAAGATATGGTTCCTACAACTTCATGGGAGGAACCACCAAGAAAAGACAAATTACATCTATTAATTCAAGAAACTGAAAAGAAAAAAGTGCCTGCTTCAGCAGAGACAATGATCTCTGCAAAAAAGAAGAAGAGATTAACATTCTTTAGTTCAGAAAAAGAACCATCAGGAAGAAAGTCCACGACAACTACCTTCTACCCAAAAAGTTACCATTCATCCAAGTCCAAGAAGAACACATTCAGGTATTGATTTTAGGAGGTTCATGATCACAAATACTAAGTATAGGCAGTTGATGATTTGTCATAATTTTCTGATAGTTTATTAACTTAGATAAGAAGCAACAGTTTAGTTATGTTATGTTAGTTAATTAGATAAAGAAAGTATACAACAATGACAATTGGGCATGGTTCACTGATACTGAAGGACAAGCAGGCTGTTTGCATGGAAGGTATTGGTCACTTTAAAGTTGTTGGGGTAGCATCCTGCTCTCTAGCCACAGTGTGAGGGAACTCTTCCCCTGCTCCTTCTCCTGTTCTTCTGCTCCATGTCCCAACTGGAGAAGACAGCTCTCTGATGAGGGCTACCTGATGAGATTTGCTGCCTGAGAACTCCTCAGTGAGAACTCCCTGAAGAGAACTGTTGCCTGCAAGGTGTGCTTGATGGGAGTTCCTCTCTGCGCCAAACATTTGTTGTTACGTCATATTCCTAAAGGCAGGTAACTTATGTTGCATCAATTCATTGCCTGAACCCTTTTGGCCAAATGCCATGGGACAGCCACTCATGACACAGGATGACTGTAGTCCCCTTGCCTACCTTTATCTGAGGGTTAGTTTATTATTCTTTCTAAGAATAAATAATTGTTATTTTTGTAAACAGCACATTGATAATAGGGTGTGTTTGGTGTCAGAATAATTGTTGACACTAATTCAATCAACATCGTAACCTCAGTGTATTTTGCATTCTTCCCTTTGTTTATATATGCTAGTGTTTAAATAAGTTGTGTTTTGCTTAAGCCAAGTGGTTTGACCATATGCTTCACACCTGAAGTGCCCACTTCACATCTACCTTTAAAATAAGAAAAAGTTAGGGCCTAAGCTACCTTCTTAGCATATTTTGAGTGGGTCTGGCCTGGTGCATAACAGGTTCAGATGAAAAGAGATAGCTGAATTTTTGTCTTTAAGAAAGGTCACTGATAGGATATTAGGACTTTTCTTAAAGACACTTCTTGGAAACACAAGGCTTAGGTCAATTGTTCTGGAACTCTCATGCCGGCTGTTTATGACTTAGTTTTGGATATTATTTGGAGTTCAGTTGGGATTCAGCCAGCTGAAGAAAAGGAAGCTACACAGATCATCTGCTATCTTTGAGAAAAAGCCTTTGGAGTATCCACTATGAAACCCTGAAGACTGACATAACTGTTCCCCTGAAAAACCTCTGACTTCTTGACATCTCCTGAACAAACTGTAAAGGTCTCATGAACCACTGTCTGTGTTTACTAACATCCATTTGCAAGGATGCCAACTGAATGTCAAAAAAACTTTTTTTCCCTTATTCTTTTTCCTTCAAGTGGAAAGAATTATTGGCCCAAAAGTTTTGTTTATAAAATTAATCTCTGCCATCAAAGCTCTTTTACCTCTTTTATTTTGGTGTCTGTTTTGGGTTTATTTAGAAGAGAAATACTTTCCTATCTCAAACTGTGTTAATCATCTTTAATTCATCTTTGCCAAGTAATTGTTTTCACGATACATAAAATAAATAAAGAATGTTATTGGTCATTCAAGAAAGCTGGTTGATTTTTTTTAAAAAATCTCAACCTAACATAGATAAAGGATAATTAGCCATATTGGCAACTGGGAAAACATTTCAAGTATAGTGTGCAGAGTTTGTTCCATTTCACCACTAACAGAAAATGTGGGTCAATATTATGTTTGACCCGGTTCTCACTTGAAGACTTCACCTGGCATTCATCGTGCCGTAGCAGCCTCTTGGCTGCTAAAACACAGATGGAGTGCTAACTTGGCCAAACAGCAAGGGATGCTGGGTACATTGGTCAAGTAAAACTCTGAAACACAAAACTCCACACACTAGACACACTGCAAACACAGCAGCCAGTTGTTAATGACATTAGCATAATGCAAATGGCAACAGTCATTCTGGACAGACACCCCCAACAAATATCCACTCAACAAAGGAGGGCCCAGACAGAAAGGCACTGGGTCCTGCTACACAAAGAAACTAACAGTAGCATGCCATCTAAATGATTTGACTCTTGTTTTAAACCGTGAAGTGTATCAGCTTGATTGGTCAGAACTACAGGAAGTTCCACAAAACCATCTAAAAGGTATAAAAACAGAGTGCACCTGCAAATCTCTCTCTTGGAATTGCTTTTGGGATCTCTGGAATTGTCTGAGGCCTTCTGAAGAAACTATCATGGCAAGAGGCAGAGTCCAGATGACCATCCACAGAGATAGAGGAAGTGTGCAGCTTTGCAAACCCAGAAACAGAGCCACAGAGAGCACGACCGCATAAATTTACAGGAGACTTGGGAAATATTGTCACCTTAGGCGGCCAAATAGGATTAATGATAGAATGTTTTGTATTAAAGGTTATTGTAATTTTGTTCCTAATAAAGTGGGACTGTTTTGCATTGATACGGGCTTGTGTTCATAATGATTTGACATAATGTTCATAATGTGGGACACCCAGGCAAATTAATTCATAACATTCTGGTTGGAGTTGTCTATAACTTGTTTAAAGAGAAATGACAACAGTGCATCTTTACTTTTGTTTCATTATTACGTCTAGCTCACTCATCATCCACAGAGGTGTTCCTTTGGTTCGCCTACATTTTGCTTTTGATAGAAAAGACCTAGACTGTCCAAAAATAGCTCAAGGATCAGCCAATGTTCTGTTACAGCTTTTTCTGTCAAGCTTCAGTTCTACTTACCATGGTTAGATCGACTTCAGTTAGACCTCGTCCAATTCAGGATTTCTCCTTTAGATTATTCTATTTTTAATCCATTCTTTATGAGGCAGCGACAGTTCTTACTCTTGTATAGCCACCTCATCCACTTGGCTCACTTCATCTCCCAGCACAAAAACCTGTATTTCTTCCTCCCTCATTAAACTTCCCAGTTAGTTGAGGAAGTTCTGAACACATGTTGAAGATCCCTTCTGTTCCTTACCCTTTCTTCGAAAAGTATCCCATTCGACATTTGGAAATTCCCCAATATTACTACTCATCTTGTACATGTTGGTGATTTCCATCCAGATTGATGAATTGGGGTACACTGAATATTTTAGTCCTGCTCTTCTCTGTAAACATGGAAAAAGAACTGAAACATTTTTCAGGAAATGGTAGAATATCTAGAATAGCACTGTAAATAAAAAGTTAATGTCATAAGTAGAATTATTTTAAATTATGTGTTCCTTTGACTGGAAAACAACACAAAAATTGGCAATTTGAGTCCATAACTTATACAGTAGATCAATATTTCTGATATATTTCCAACTACAAAGTTGTGGATGTGATCATTCAATCAACACTGCATCTAGTAGATAGTACACACTGCTACCACTGAGTGTCAGTTGTGGAGGGAATGGATGGTTGTGGATGTGTTGCCAATTAAGTGGACTGCTTTGTCCTGGGTAGTGTGCTAGCTTCTTGAGTGTTGAAGGAGCTGCACCCACCCAGGGAAGTGGTGAGTTTTCCATCACCTTCCTGGCTTGTGCCTTGTAGATGGTGGACAGACTTTTGGGAGTCAGCAGTTGAGTTACTTGCTGCAAGACCCCTCTGACCCAATTTTATAGCCACTGTATTTATATAACGAGTACTATTCAGTTTCTGGTCAATGGTAACCCCCATGATGTTGACGGTGGGGGGATTCAGTGCCTCAGAAACTCCATCATTGAACACATTTCAGATTGGGATGGAAAATGTTTCAGTTTATGGTCTTTTAGGGATCAAGGGATATAGTGACTGGGCATGAAAATTGAGTCAAAATCCAAGTACAGTCATGATCGAATTGAATGATGGGGCCAATTGTTGTACTTCTGCTTTTGTTTCTCCCGTGTTATGATTCCAACCAACTGAGAGTTATCTGCTTCAACCACTTTGACTTTCATTTCTTCGGCTTCCTTGATACCATCCTCTTTAAGATTCTGATATTGAGGCCAGCAACTGTCGCTTCACTTTTGGAATACTCCAGATCAACGTGCAAGTAACAATGTTGGCTCATAGGACAAGACACAGGACATCGATTTGGAAGGAGTATACTTATCCCATGCTCAGCAAAAACCAAAACCTGCAGAAAGTCCCAACTGTTCAAGCAATTAAGATAACAAGGCGTAGAGCTGGATGAACACAGCGGGCCAAGCAGCATCAGAAGAGCAGGAAAGCTGACGTTTCGGGTCGAGACCCTTCTTCATTTCTGATAACATTCTTCATTTCTGAAGAAGGGTCCAGACCCGAAACGTCAGCTTTCCGGCTCCTCTGATACTACTTGGCCCGCTGTGTTCATCCAGCTGTGCACCTTGTTATCTCAGATTCTCCAGTATCCGGCAGTGCCTACTATTTCTGTTCAAGCAATTAGCAAGGTCTCGCAAGATAAACTTTAAATGAGGGAAAAATGAACATCGGGGCGGTTGACCCCTCTAGGTGAAGAAAAGTGACGTTCACAGAAGGGAAGCGGCTGATTGGTGAGCATTTAGTTTAAAACTTGAACTTACAGCAGTTCGCGTTCAGTTTGCGTTCTTCTTGACGCTGGAGCAGGATGGATTATCGAACCGACCAAGTGTCCCTGAACCCAAGCAGTTACCCGAACCAGGGAATGAATACCCAGGCGGTGACCACCACTGTCGTTAACGTGGTCCCGAATGTGACCTCGGTCCGGGACCACTTCCTTTGGTCCATCTTCAACTTCGCCTTCATGAACTTCTGCTGCCTAGGCTTCGTCGCGATGGTCTTCTCGGTCAAAGTGAGTGCGGGCCTCAAGGGCAGAGAACCGGGGGGGAGGCAGTCAGAGACCCGGGGTGAGAGACAGAGACCCGCGGGAGACAGAGACTCGGTGGGGTGGGGGGTGGGGGGGGGAGGTGGGTGGGGAAGAGGGGAGACAGACACCCCAAGAGTGGACCGAATTACTGGGGGAGTGGGGCGGCGGGTAGGCAATGCTGCCTGTTATCAAACTTGCTGTGAGAGAAACTAGCGCACTTGATAGAGCCAGAATGCAGTTAACTGTTTTTTTAATGTGCATATATAGTAAGAGTTCTCTGAAATCTGTAAGTTCTGCACCTGTACAATAATCACTAAATATCCCTCTGAAATCCTTTCCAAGGAATCTCCATGATGCCCACACTCTATTTTGCCTCTGCGTTTTAAAATAGTTGGTCTAGCTGACAAGTGCACTTGCCCTACAGCAGTAATATTTTCTGATTGTTTAAGATCGCTTTGCGCTAAACTGAATTTTTTTTTGTAACGGCAACAACGGACATCGAGCTTCGGAAACCGAGAAACATAATTCAGAAGATATTTCAAAACATTGATCTCTCTCTTCCAATGTCAGGTGAAGAGAGAATGGTTGTTCGATTAACAGTAGATACCCCAAAAATATTCACAACTAAAGACTGAATAGCCAAGTGTATTCGATGTATGTGCGTGCAGGATTTGTAGCCAGCAGAATTCCAGAAGTAGTATGGAAAGAAATGACCAATCTTTGTTGGTGTTTGGCCGTGAGTTTTAATGTTCAAGTGGGTATGAGCGGTGTCCACTGCATCATTTATCAATCATTTCATGAGATCTTTTACATCTCCCCAGAAAATGATAGGTGTGGCAAAGACTCGGTGTCCGATGGGTTTGGATTCAAGTCCAGGAATGGTTTGAAGTGAGAAACAAACTGCATAAGGATATAGATCGGTCCTTGAAAGTGGAGTTGCAGGTAGATAGGATAGTGAAGAAGGCGTATGGTATGCTTTCCATTATAGGTCAGTTCATTGAGTATAGGAGTTGGGAGGTCATGCTGCGACTGTACGGGACATTGGTTAGGTCACTTTTGGAATACTGCGTGCAATTCTGGTCACCTTGCTATAGGAAGGATGTTATGAAACGTGAAAGAGTTCAGAAAAGCTTTACAAGGATGTTGCCGGGGTTGGAGGGTTCGAGCGATAGGGAGAGGCTGAATAGGCTGGGGCTGTTTTCTCTGAAGTGTCCGAGGCTGAGGGGGTGGGGAGGGACCTTAGCGAGGTTTATGAGCGGCATGGATATGGTAAATGGACAAGGTCCTTCCCCCAGGGTAGGGGAAGTCCAAAACTAGAGGGCATAAGTTTAAGATGAGAGGGGAAAGATTTAAAAGGGACCTACCGGGCAACTTTTTGTTCGGGTTGTGCGGGAAGTCGTGGAAGTTGGTACAACAAACAACATTTAAAAGGCATCTCGGATGGGTATATGAATAGGAAGGATTTAGAGGGATATAGGCCAAAATTTACTTTGGATATCTGGTCGCGTTAGACCAAAGGGCCTGTTTCCAGGATGTACACCTCTATGACTCTAAGTAACTGGACGGAGTTCTTATAGAACCTTACAGAATCCCTACAGTGTGGAAACAGGCCCTTCGGCCCAACATATCTACACCGACCATCCTACCCAGACCCATCCCCATTTAACCCACTTAAGTCTGCATACCCCTGAACACTGCGGGCAGTTTAGCATAGCCAGTTCACCTAGCCTGCACATCTCTGGGCTGTGGGAAGAAACCGGAGCACCCGGAGAGAATGTGCAAACTCCACACAGACTGTCGCCTGAGAGCGGAATCGAACTCCGGTCCCTGGTGCTGTGAGGTAGTAGCGCTAACCACTGAGTCACTGCGCCGCCCCGCAAGTGGGCTATAATGTGGGGGACATTGTCCATTTTATCAGGAAGAATAAAGAAAGCAGCACACCATCTCAAAGATTGCAAAGCCTCAGGTTGCAAAGGCACCTGGCTGTCCTAGTGTATTAATAATAACGTACAGCTAAGGCGAGTAATGAGAAAACCTAACATTTATTAGATGGGGAATTAAATACAAAAATGGGAATGTTATGCTTCATTGGTGAAAGCACATCCGATGTATTATGTACGGTATTGATCAACCTATTTTAAAGAAGGATGTAAGTGCATTGGAAGAAATTCAGGGAACACTTAGTAGATTTTTACGGAAAGGGCTTTGAGTTGTATGTAACAAAACGTAATGGCTTTTGTTGCTGAAAATTAGTGCGTGCAACGGACGTGTAGTTTTCTAATTAAAAACACAAATGGGAAAAGACAGTGCCAACATGAATAGTTTAAATGTTCTTTTATGGAAAGAGATGTTGTAGAGACTATATATTTTCCAAATGAAGGTAGTATATGCAGGTAGGATTGAGATTTTCAGCACTAACCACAGGAACTGAGCTGGAGCTGGAGAAAGCCGCAGAGACTAGACAGGTATGGCAGCATCCGTGTAGAGACAAACAGTTGAAGTTTCGAATCTGAAAGACTTCTTCAGAACTGGGATTTGATTTTCATGCCTTGTTCTATACATTCACACTTCTGTTCCTTTTAGTCCAGAGATCGGAAGGTTGTGGGAGACGTGGAAGGAGCTCGGCATTATGGGTCAACAGCCCGAACACTCAACATTGTAACAACAGTGCTGAGCGTCCTTGTTTTCATCATTTGCATTGCGATGCTACTTGCTGGCACGTTTCATGCAGCGCGAACAGTGCACAATTTGAAAAACTCTGATGGTTGGAATTGAAGTAATACTGGCATTTCCAATGGCAGAAGCTGTTTCCTTATGGAATTATTTTCAACATTTCCTATACTCATATTCTACCGTCGCTAGTTTCTTTCTATAATGTTTATCTGTCGCTGACATTCTTCGATGCGATCACCTTACAGTAATACAGATTATTCTTGTAAAATTTGGCCAAAATGTGGCCTTCATTGTATTAATAAAGCAATTTATAAAAGTTGGGGATTCTTGGTTTTTAATGACAAGTTTTCGGTGTTGAACTATAAGACAGTAAAAGAAACAAAATGTGGAGCTGAAGGAACACAGCAGGCCAAGCAACATCAAGGGAACAGGAAAGCTTTGTGTGCTGTGTTTCTGAGGCTCCACGCTGTGTTATCTCTAACTCCAGCATCTGCAGTTCTTATAATCTCCAAAGGAAACAATCACATGGCATCAAATAGAGTCACGGTTGATTGAGCCATGAAGAGCTGTCATTTCCCAACACTAAGATATTTTGTTGAGGGTGTCAATGCCTTCTGTAATTATTAAATTTATTAAACTTATTAAAGTATTAAAAGTCTCAGGAGTTGAAGGATTACACCATCCAGATGCTGCAATTTGGACATCAGAGTTGCCTTGAGATGACTAGTGAGTAAGATGTTAGTGCTTTGAATTGGTCTGCTCAATAAACCAATTAGTTGGATATAGAGATTAGAGAAATTTCTGTTCTTTGAGGTTACAGGATTCCAACAAGTTACAGAATCTCTCAGTCATGAGAAGAAATGATCATGGCCCCTTGGCACAATTTGGATGAATTAGCTGGTTCATTCTTGATTATGTTTCACACTTGTTTCACCAAGGACAAAATAGCCCTAGCAAAATTGAAGTCAATGGGAACAGGGGTGGTGGAAAACTTTCCATTGATTTGGGGTATGCCCTAGCACAAAGGGAGCTAGTTATGATTATTGAAAGTAAATCCTATCTTAGTCCTAGGACATCTCTGCAGGAGATCTTCAGATTAGTGTCTTCAATCAACCACCTTCAGCATCTTCATCAATGACCATTGCTTCATCATTAAATCAGAAGAGGGGATGTTTGCTGGTGACTGCATAATGTTCAGCACTATTCATGACTCTTCCAATACTAAAGCTGTTCAAGTTTACACGTATAAAGATCTGGATAATTTGCAGACTTTGGCTGATAAGTTGCAAGTAAATGTGTGCCACACAAATGTCAGGCAATGACCATCTTGAACAAAACAGATTCTATCGATTTCCCATTGATGTTCAATGGCATTACTGTTGCTGAATTCCCTACTCCTCTTCCCCCCCATTCTCAACATCATTGGTCTTACCACTGACTCGAAACTGAACCAGATGGTCAAATAAATAATGTAACTACAACAGCAGGTAAGACATTAGGAATTCTGTGGTGAGTGACACCTCCTAATTCCCAAAACCCCTGCTCATGATCTGCCAGGCACAAATCAGGAGTGTGATAAAATGCTCTTCTCTTGTTTGGATGAGTGCAGCTCCAACAACAGTCTAGAAGATCAACGCCATTCAGGATAAGGCAGCCTCTTGATTGGATCCCCATCCACCAGCTTAATCACTCACTCCCTTTTGTAAATATCCCAGCTCCAGCCTGTCTGCAGTAACCCACTCTCACTGCTTCAACAGTCAACAGTGTAAACAGCACTTACAATGAGTGTTAGTAAATTGCTTCTAAAAAGTACAGCAGTCCCTTCGAAATCCATAGCTTTAAAATAATCCTTTCCCCATGACAGTCTGCAGTCAAAATGTTGAAAAATAACAAGATACGGTCTTTACAGAATAGTTTCCTCGATTTGCGAATGGCACTTGTCTGCTAGATTCAAGATCTCTGCTGGATTAATGAGTTCCAGAGCATGTTGAGCTGCTGCTTCTAATTACATCTGGAAGATTTCAGACTGTGATATGGTACCTCCCACCCCAACTTTATTCATACGCTGTACTGCTCCAAGCAGCATGTCAGCAAAATACATCTGTTACCCTTGTTTATTCAGCTTTATTATTGCTGTTTCCATGTCGCTATAACTTTTGGGATCCAGGCTAAGTCCCCTTATTGTCAAGGATTGACCCATGGATTTGTCTTTGAGCATCTTCAATTGCATTTTTTACTTTTTCAGCTTCAGATTGACCTGTTGAGCAGACGTTATTGCTGGGTGTCCAAGATAAAGCAGCGACACGCAGTCACCAGGTTCCACATTGACTGTTTTGCAATTCTTGGCACTTTGTTTCTATTGGACCCATGGGAGAATCGGAACTTGCGAGTACAGTGAGATTTAATGTAAATGAAAGTGATAAGCAATAGTCCCCATTATTGGGCATCTCATCACTCCCTAGCAATAATCTTGGCTTGATACATGGAGCTCTGTTTGAAAATGCAACATCAAGTGCCTCACTGGAGTTCTCCTGCAAATCTCCCAGATTTTCCACCACAGCCCACAGCATTCAAAACCTTTTTTCTCTACGTAAGTTTACCTAGTATTTAGCATGGGCATGGATCAGGAGGTACCATGACATAAGTGAAGTTTTCAATGAAGTGAAATTTCAACAAGAAACTCTTTATGAGAACAAACATTTCACTTAATTGATCAAAGACTTATATAAACAAACATATCACTTGTGGTTAATGCCTTATGTCAATAAACATCCCTGTCAAGTAGTTTAAGTCTTAGGCCAATAAACATTTCCATTTAGTAAGCAGCTGGAAGGTACCATCAACAAGCTCTTCATTGTGAAAGCGATAATTTGGGAAACCAGTTATGTAACGCAAATCCATTTGGTTTTATACAGCCAAGCACTCAAATCCCTTTCATTTTATTAAAAAATTGCACAATTTATTTTGGAGAATTTCTTGACAACTTTGGCATTTCCTTTTGGATATCCAGGGCACCCCTTTTGGAGAGCTGATATATCTCAGCAGATAGGATTCTGGGCACCTTGGGGGTGACAGACTGGAATCCTTTGAGATGGGAGTGTCTAGACCCCTTTGGGACAATTAACTTCAGAGAAATTTGTGTTTAAATGGTGTAAACTGCTTGGAACTGTCCAACTAGTCAAGACCTGTCAGCAAGTATCAGAACTCTCAAAATGTGGGCATTACTATTGACCATAAATTCAACTGGATGAGCAGTAAAACTACTACAGCTACAGAACAGGTCAGAGGCTGAAAATCCTCCTTCCAGTAAGTCATCTTTAGAAGCACAGTCTGAGGATATGGGATAGGCCATTTAGAAATGAGATAAGGAGAAGTTTTTTCACCCAGAAAGTGGTGAGCCTATGGAATATTTTGCTGCTGAACACAGTCGAGCCCAAATCCGTGAATGTTTTCAAGAAGGAGTTAGATATTGTTCTTAGGGCTAAACAGATCAAACAGTTTGGGGAGAAAGTGACAACAGGATACTGAGTTGGATGACCAACAATGACCATATTGAATGGTGCAGGACACCTAAAGGGCTGAATGGCCTACTCCTATTCTTATTTTCTATTTTCTATGTAGCAAGTTACAATGAAATTGCAATAAAGACTAAACAGTTGTCTTGAGAGTTTGTAACTTTTCCAGTCATGATAACGACGAAGGAAATGAATGAAACTAGATGAACTGCAGCATTAACCCATCCACTGGAAATTACAGCAGCAAACTAGTGCTGTAAATCCTGTAAAATTATATTTAATAACATCCGGGAGCTGTGTCCCAGAACAGGGAGAGCCATTCCACAGGCTAATCATGCAACAACCTGATGTTGTCCTTCTCACATAATCATACCTTACAAACAATATCTCAGATATTGCCCTTACTATCCAATGTATGTTCCCTGTCCCATTAGAGGTGACAGCGCAATGTTACAGAGTCAGGAGGGAGTTACACTGGGAGTCCTGAACATTGGCACTAGACCATATGAAGTCTTATGGTGCCAGGTCAAAGGTGGGCAAAGAAATCCCCTGCTGGTTACTATCTATCCCCTTGGCTGATATATCAGTAGTCCTCCATGTTGAACACCAATTTCAGAAAACAGTAAGGTTGGCAAGGGAATAGAATGTACTCTGGGAAGGGGACTTCCACGCCCATCATTTAGATTGGCTTGCTACAAAACGGCTGTATGAGATGCCAAGTCCTAAAGGACTAAACTATTAGACTGGGTTTGTGGAAGGTGGTGAGGAAACCTACAAGAGCTGAAGACCAACTTAACCTCACCCTCACCAATCTGCCTGTCACACATGCATCTGATCATGACAGTATCAGAAAGCGTGATAACTGGGCAGTCCTCATGGAGATCAAGTCACATATTCACATGGAGGATACTGCAGATTTAACAACTCGGCATCTGCCAGCACTGTGTGCTATTAGTAGCAGCAGACTGTATTTAATAAAGTCGAAAACCTCATGTCATGGCATATTCCCCACACTATGATTGCTATCAAGTTATGAGATCAACTCAGCCTAAATGAAGGTGATGGTGCTGTAACAATGTCACTAGACAGGTAATTTAGAGTCCCAGACTGATGTTCTGGTATTATAGACTCAAAACCCATCATGGCAGATTGTGAAATTTGAATCTTAAAAAAAGAGTAATTAAAAGCTGGTCTAATAGCAACCATGTAATGATTGTCATAACACATACATCTGGTTGGTTAATATCCTTTAGGCAAAGCTGAAAGTGCCAGGTAGCTGCTCTGGTTTCCATTTCACGTTTCCTCAACATCCAGCTTGTTTGGCGAGTTAGGTAAAATAGAAATCTGAATACTAATGAGGCGAGTTGGGCTGTCAACAAGACATTTAACAACCAATAATCCGCATTAATTGGCAACTCACCATTATTTCATGAGAAACTCACCATGCTGCTTGCGAAAAGCACGAGAGATGGAACAGGATGGTCCCAATGTTGTGATTGGTCTTGCTTGGTTGCTCGTCGAATTCTTCCACAAATTTCAATATAGCATATGCCACATAGATCCTTATAAGACTCTTCCCAATGTTTCACATTTGTAACTTTCCATTCAAACTGGTTTTTATTTCAGATGTTCAGTATTCATATTATTTTACTTTCCTGCTTTTTATTTTGAACATTGCTTACGATGCTTCCCATGCTGTTCTACACCATTGTTTACGAATATTGATTACCACACCATTGTTTTTTCTCCAATCTATTATCTTGTCTTCATCAGCCCTTCTCAATTATCTAAATAATATAAA